ATTTGCTGAGGTCCCAATTGTCTATCTTATCTCTTATGGCATGGGCTTTTGGGGTTATGATGAAGAATTTGTTGCCTATTCCAGTATGCAAATGCATATCTCCTGCATTTTCTAAGATTCTTATAGTTTGAGGTTTTACATTTAGGTCTTTGATCCATTTAGAATTGATTTGTGTGTGTGGTGATAAGTAGGGGTCCTGTTTCAATCTCCTGCATGTGGTCAGCCAGTTTTTCCAGCACCATTTACTGAATAGGGCTCTTCTCTCCCAAGTGGTTGTTGTTGGTGGCTTTGTTGAAGATGAGTTGGTTGAGAAATTAAGGTTTTGCTTCCGGAATCTCTATCCTGTTTCATTCATCTGTATGCCTGTTCTTGTACCAATATCAGGCTGTTTTATTATAGTCTTATAATAAGGTTTAAAGTCTGGAAGTGTGATTCCTCCTGCTTTGTTTCTTTTGCTGAGGATTGTTTAAGCTATTTGTGGTCTTTTTTGTTTCCATATGAATTTCTGTATTGTTGTTTCTAGATATGAGAAGAATGATATTGGTAATTTAATGGATAATCCATCAAATCTGTAGATTACCTTGGGTAGGATGGCCATCTTAACAAGATTGATTCTTCCAATCCATGAGCATAGAATATTTTTCCACTTATGTCTTATTTGATTTCTTTGAGCAATGTTTTGCAGTTTTCATTATAAAGGTCTTTCACTTCTTTGGTTAGGAAGATGCTGAGTGATTTTATTTTTTTTGTGGCTATTGTGAATGGGGTTGTTCTTTTTATTTGGTTCTCCATCTGTTTGTTGGTGGTGTATAAAAATGAAACTGCCTTTTGCACATTGATTTTTGTACCCTGAGATTTTGTCTGAGTTCTTTATCAGTGCTAGGAGGTTTTAGACCGATTCTCTTGAGTTTTCAAGATATAGGATCATATCGTCTGCAAAGAGGGATAGCTTAACTTTCTCTTTTCCTGTTTGGATACCCCTGACTTCCTTTTCTTGCCTGATTGCTCTAGCTAGGACTTCCAATGCTATGTTGAATCGGATGGGTGAGAGTGGGCAACCTTGTCTCATTCTGGTTTTCAGAGGGAAATGCTTCCAACTTTTGTCCATTGAGCAGTATATTGGCTATGGGTTTATTATAGATGGCTTTTACTGTTTTCAGAAATGTTCTTTCTGTGCCTAGATGTCCAATGACTCTTTCTGGGGGTTCACTGAGCTTCTTTTATCTGGATGGTTAGATCTCTGGCAAGGCCAGGAAAATTTTCCTCTGTATTCTCTCAAATAGGCTTCTAAACTGGTTGCCTTCTCTTCCTTCTCAGGAACACTTATGATTCGTAGATTTGGACATTTTACATAATTCCTTATTTACTAGAAATTTTGTTCCACTTTTTAAAATTCTTTTTTCTTTATTGTTGTCTGCTTGAATTAATGCAAAATCTTTATCTTCAATTTCTGAGATCCTTTATTCTGCTTGTTCTAGTCGCCTGTTAAAACTTTTCACAGCCGGGCTCAGTGGCTCAGCGGCTCAGCCTGTAATCCCGCACATTGGGAGGCTGAGGTGAGTGGATTGCCTGAGCCCGCGGGTTCAAGACCCGCCTGGGCAACTTGGTGAGACCTCATCTCTACAATAAATCAAAAATTAGTCCAGCGTGGTAGCCTTCCAAGTAGTTCCAGCTACTTGGAAGGCTGAGGCAGAAGGATTGCTGGAGCCCAGCAGGTCGAGGCTGCGGTGGCCGGCACTCCAGTCTGGGCGACAGAGGGAGACTCCAACTAAAAAAAAAAAAAAAAATACTTTTCACCTTCTAAAAAAAACAAACAAACAAACAAAAAATTTTCACTTTCATTTCTAGAATTTCGGTTTGTTTTTGTTTTGTCTTTGATGTCTATCTCTTTGGAGAATTTCTCATTCATATACTGTGTAGGTTTGGGGGGATTTTTTTGGCTTTTGTTTTTTTTAATTTAGTTTTCAGTTTTCTTCTGAAGCTCATTGCTCAATTTTATAATCAACCTTTTAAATTCAGTTTGTGAAATTTCAAAGGTTTTGTTTTGGTTATACTTCATTGCTGAAGAGTTGGTGGGTCTTGTGGTGTTGGAGAACTCTGTCTTTTCATATTGTCAGAATTATTTTTCTGGTTCCTTTTCATTTGAGCAGACTAATTGTTCTTATTTGAGGTTGGCAGGGGGCTGACATAGGCACTGTAGGGTTCCCTTGGTTATATATAGCCTTGGTGTAGCGAATTTCTCAATTGCTAACTGTCGCAGTCCTGTACTAGGTACCTGCACTGGCTTATGGCTTCCTGAATGACTAGAATGACCTGAAAAGTGGTGATAGCTGGGGTCTGGGATTAGACCTTCCCCAAATCTATGGTATTATATCCAATGTGGTGGACTATGCTGTTGACCTTTGGTTAGGAGGTGGCACTTGTGGGAGAAAGCTAATTGCATTGGTTGCTGTGGAGTTTCTCCTTGGTGTGTGTTGCTCCAAGAAAGTGCTCAGCCAACCTAAGTGGAAGGGTGAGCTATTGGGTTCCCAAGTTCTATGTCTGTTTTGAGTCTCTGAGGGGGGTTTTGGTGAAAAGAGGCCCAGCCACCCCCTATTGCATGCTCCTGGACACCCTAGTGGGGATTAGGAGGGAGTACCAGGACAGACACAAAAGAGTTTACATGGGGAGTGACACCTTATTATGTAACAAGTTCTACCCAGCTATGACTTTAGTCTCAGGTAGTTTACAATCTGAATGTCAAAGTACAACCAACCTCAGGGGCTCAGGTATTTTGGAGCCTACCCCATTCAGAAACTCACTGCCTTGCAGAGTTTGCCCTTGGGGCCCATTCCTTCCCAGGCTGACTAGAAAGTAACCAAGCAATGGTTGAGTTCCTGGGCTGTGGGGCTGGTGCTGCACCACTCTATGGAGTATGGCTGTGAGAAAGGCAGCTTCCCATGAGCAACTGGAGTCCCACAAGGCTTGGGGGCCCACCATGTCCATAGCAGGAGCACAGAACTCCTATGGAGTTTGCCCCTGGGGCCTGTCCCCTCCCAGGCCAGCTAGAAAGCAGCTGCAGTGCAAGATTTTAATTAAGGTATTGGAAAATCTATTGGGGTTTTATGCTGATAATTCTGCAAGTGCTAGAAAATTCTCTGTGACAAAAAATGAAAGACCCCAAGGCAGAGCAACAAGAAATTTCATAACACTGAAAATCTTATAAGTGTATAGAGAAAGAAAGATATTCAAGGGTCATGAAGTCCACATACTTTTGAAATATAACATGAACCTGGCATTTAGCACGTGAGCATTTTTATTATTTAGCTTTTGGATCTTTATTCTTACCTGATATATCTCAAATTCTTTAAGAGTAAAAAACATATATCTTTGTATTCTTCCAAATAGACTAACTTGGAAATAGCATATGACACTAGCTTACTAACATGGAACTAATTCTATGCTATAGGTTGGCATAACGCTCATAGCCACTGCCACTAGCATGGAATAGAGTTCAGAATAAGTATTTGTTAAATAAATTAATAAATGTTATATAAAGCATTACTTCACATGCTTTCTAGATTCTATTACTTATTTCCAAAAAATTACATTTATAATAATTATTAGGAAATAGGTTTAATTCTGTTAGGATGCATTTAGTTATTTGTCATCGATTTTGTACATAGCATATGAGAATGCATAATGCTTTTAAACATAGATATCACCAGAGCTAATACTCTGTGCTTTGAACTGAAATTCTTCTAACAATTTCAGCAGGATAAAATAACTTCCAGGAATATAACTTTTACTGACCTACCAAAATAAATAGGATATATAGAGTTTTGATTTATGATTGAACTGAGTGATATTATCTAAGAAAGCATTCCAAGGACTAGATTAAAATGTATTATAATACATATTCAAGCTTAAAAGAAAGAACTTTTAAGTTTGCAAAACATGGGAAGTGCTGGACAGGTAATATTTTAAAAGCATTTACTGAACCAAATGTACTTTAAGAGTCAAGACAGAAAAAAATGAACATTGATTTGCTTAAAACAATAGGCAGAAGACCTGCCTTTATAAGATACCATAACATTTGTAGCTCTCTGAAATATGTTCACCAATTTTCTGCTACTTCAAGTATATAGTGAAAACACAGGTCACCATGAAGTCATTAAATAAGATTTAGCTAAAGACTTAATCATCTTACACAACTTTAGTTCATACTTTCTTTTATAATTGCATTGATATTTTTACCAGGGAAGCTGTACAAATTTGAAAAAGCATCATTATGAGTGTGTATAATTGAAGCAAATAATCACTTTCATATACAAAGATTGAGAAGAAGACCTTTTACTTAGTGACCTTTTGTCATTTTGTTTGTTATACTTTCTAGAAGCTACTAACCAAGAGAATAATCTCTTCCTTTTGGATCTGGCAGACTTCACACATATAATCTGGGGCAGTTACTGCAACCTGCAGTGGTCCTTTAAGATTAGAGCTGATACTGGGATTTGTGTCTCAAATAGTTGTTCTAATTTAAAATGTCACTTCCTAAGAAGCACATAAAGTTGATAATTGACTTCATTTTCTAATGTATGTGTACAATTTGGCAGGAAATACTATTCTTAAAATTTTTGCCTAGAAGGATTACAGTATAGCACAGACCAGTCCAGTGTTTTTTAAGTCTCATTTTTATTTCTTTTTTTAATGTCTTAAGATGCTGAAATATAACAGGCTTTGTAATAGAAGTACTGATTTTGAGATTTAAAACAGATAAGTGGCTAAAATAGTTCAATGATTTCCATTTACAAATTTTTCTCCAACTTTCTTCACTGTCCCTTCAAGTCTAATATCACACTCTCTTTCACAGAGTGTGATGGATTGTTTAGGCCCTAGTTAGAACTGAATAAAACACCAACCTGTATATGATCTTCCATGAGGGGGAAAAAAAAAACTATGTTTCAGCAAGTTAACTGTTTGAAAGGCAATGTTTCCTTACCTGTTCATTTTTCCTCCAGGTTCTTCCAAGACAAACATGTGGGCTTTTCACTCACACAATTTTCTACAAAGAATATCCAGGTGGTCCTAAGGAGCTGGATAAGAGTATCCAAGGAGGTGAACTGTTCTTCACTGTGGTCCTCAACCCAGTAAGTACTTTGTGTTATTCTCCAAATAAATAATGAATAATGATAGGACAGGTGAAAATTACCCTGGCAAAGAGACTAGCCATTGGGCAGTCATCAGTCAAATCAATATGAAGTTCTATCTCTTCGGTAGTAAAAACTAAATGGAATGCTCTAGAAGTGAGGACAAACTAATTCTACAAGTAGCAGTAACATGAGGAATTTATGGCAGAATCAGAGAAGTGCTCCAGAAAATCCTCCTCTGCACTGAAAAACAATCAGAAGTCAGAGTCTTGCTTTTGTGGAGAATGAGATTTTTTTACCTGGAGAACTCTCCTATTTCCACTGAGGATCAGTTTTTTCATTTAGGTGATCATTGCTTCTAATATTCCTTTTATTTTTATTTTTTTCCCTGTTTAATGTGCAAGCAAACTGGTGGAGGAGTTAGTTAAGTAGGTGTAGTCGTATGTTCCACATTGATGTTAGATCTTGCCTTGCTAGGTCACAGGCTGAGGCAGAGTAGCCCTGTTTAATAAGCTGCTCCTTTGCTTCTTAATACGTGTGTGTCATCTTCACAATGAACCATTTGTACGTATTTCTGCTTGAGGCAAATATTACAAAGTTGTCTAGAGAAAGAAGAACTAATTGAAGTAAGCTGTATAAAGAAAAGAAAGGATTTTATTTCCTTTCTGAAAATCACTAACATAAAAAGTAAAGCTAAGTTTATTTACCAGAAGATGTATGGGTTTGCCCGTGGCGTTAGTAATGCTCAAGAAGAAAAAAAAAAGGAATTATTTACAAATGTGAAAATTTATATCAATAAAAAAGTTGGATAAGATAGAGATAAATTAGCCAGGCTCGGTGGCTCAGCCTGTAATCCCGCGCCTTGGGAGACTGAGGTGAGTGAATTGCCTGAGCCCGCGGATTCGAGACCTGCCTGGGCAACTTGGTGAGACCTCATCTCTACAATAAATCAAAAATTAGCCGGGTGTGGTAGCGCGCACCTGTAGTTCCAGCTACTTGGAAGGCTGAGGCGGAAGGATCGCCAGAGCCCAGCAGGTCGAGGCTGCAGTGGTTAAGAGCGGCCACTGCACTCCAGTCTGGGTGACAGAGTGAGACTCCAACTCAAAAAAAAAAAGATAGAGATAAACTGAAAGACCCCTTTCTTAGCCTTAATTTTATAGATCCTGCAAATAAAATTGCAGATTTTTTTTTACCTTCTACTTGTATTCAAGTAGATGTGATCATATTGTTTTCAATTCTACTTGTATTCATCTACGTACCTATTTTTTAGCTCCTAGAAAATGAGATAAAAGTAATAGTAACACATCTTTGTTTTAAATACACAAACTGCATGTGTACTTAAAACTCAGGATGGTTGAGAATAGTGTGATATTTGACCTTTTGGAAGTTTATCAACCTTCAGATCTGAAAAATATAAAAACTTTGATTTATATATCAGAAACAATGTGATTCTCCTAATTTACCTATTCCTTACAAATGGAAGTATCTCTTGAATTACCTAATGCATTTTCTCCTCTTTTTTCTCAATTCACCCAGTATAGTAATACACAGGTAAAAAGAATTTAAAAGATGCCTGATTGTAAGCTAAAGATCAGTTAAAGCACTCTTAAAATGCTAAAATTTTTCTATAATTTTAAGAAACGTTAATCTATCATCTGTAAAATTTTTCATTATCATAGAGCAATAAGACTATGAACAGATAATCATCCATTTGATTCTCTAAACAAACAATTGCTTTGGTGCTTAAGAAGTTCCTGGTAGTGTTGTTATTTTAGAATTTCTAAACCAATTGAGTCTCATTTCACATAGAAGAAATTAAAAATTAACTCATCCATGTATTATGGATCTATACTAAGAATTTCATGATAAGAAATATTATGTTTTCATTAATTAAAATCAAACTTTTTAAAATTTGACAAAAGACATGGCCGGGCTCGGTGGCTTAGCCTGTAATCCCAGCACTTTGGGAGGCCAAGGCGAGTGGATTGCCTGAGACCCCAAGTTCGAGACCCACCCAGGCAATTTGGTGAGACCTCGTCTCTATAATAAATCAAAAACTAGTCGAGTATGGTAGCACACACCTGTAGTTCCGGCTATTTGGAAGGCTGAGGCGGAAGGATCGCCGGAGCCCAGCAGGTCGAGGCTGCGGTGGCCGGGAGCGTGTCACTGCCCTCCAGCCTGGGAGACAGAGTGGGACTCCAACTCAAAAAAAAAAAAAAGACATCTTATAGTAAAGCTTGTGTTAAGTGTGGACACTAGTTGGACTAACTCTTTAACAAACCTTGCTACTTTTCAGGCCTCCATCATTAATATTTTGTGATTTTATTTGTCTTGATGAGGATATTCATAGGAAATAAAGAGAGGTAAAATCTTTACAGAACTCATTCTTTACTGATTCAGAAAATTTTATTAAACAATTACTTTCAGAAAAACATTAGGATTTTAAATAAATGACTAATTTTACCAGATACCATAATAACCATGATAAATTAACTTCATCTGACATAACAGCTCCAATATTGGAAGCAGTTCTGCTTACCTGGAAACATGTGGTTGAGAAATATACACCTAGACTCAGCCCAAGTCTAGGCAGAGGGAAGACAGCCATTATTATTTAGTGATGTTCACCCAGCAGACCAGAGTAAGGAGTGGTGCCATGTTTCCCATGAATTCTCCATTCCAAAATTAAGTGCTTGGATAAAGTTTGTGTTGAAATTAAGAAGGGTTCAGGTGTAGTGGGACATGCTATTAATTTAGCAGATAGCATTCTTTATTAGGTCAGAATGAGATAAGAAAAACTTGATGGAATCAAAGTATACATTAGCTGCAGAAAAGATAAAAATTTTAATTATAGTGGATTTGAAAGATAACCTTTGTCAGTTTAAGTAATACCCCAGGGTTCAGTTAGAAGTGCCATTTTCTGAGAATGCCAAATTAGACTGTCCTTACTGTAAAAAGGTAGATGTGTGTTAGAAACATGGCACTTAAATTCATTCAAATACATTTGAATTGGAATGAAAATAAAAGCAGCCTGCAATTGATGAGATTTTAAGTGGTTTACCATATATCAACATAATATCAAGGTTCTATAATAACTTTTGTCAGTATTGGGGTGAGAGGTGGCTATAATAAGGTGCTTCTCAGAGTTAAACTGGAATAGATCACAGCAAAGATAAAGACTCCTTAAACAGAGCAATTCTCTGGCCTGAAATGTTCTACTGTTACCAAACTATTACTTATTGTGAAAGAAAGAGGTATCAATCAAATGAATTTAATAAAAATAAAGAGTTAGAAAGATGAATGTTAGCACTCTCTGAGAGAGAAAAAAACCTTGGCCATCTCTAAATGAGTATTTCTAGTGTCACAGGCCTGAACACCTCTGATATAGGTTAGATTCAGGAGTTTTGATTAACAGACTTTGAGGTTCAGATTCAGCTGGGAGGTGGACCCAACAGGCTACCTGAACCTGGAACCATTAAGATTTCCATCCTTCTCATTTTACTTTCTCTGATTCTAGACTCAAGCAGTAACTTATTCATTATGGTTTGCTTTCCTATATATATCCTACTTTAGGAAAAGAATATGTTAATCATAGGATTAACTTTGCTGAGGTGTTAAATTGCAATACAATTTTATAAATTTTCTTTCAATTGGTAAATACTTCCCATGTAACCTAACTACAAGAAAGTTCTCTCTAATTGTATAGACAGTAACTATGCAATATTTCAGTTTCTATCTAATTTACAGTTCCTTATTTTAAACTAATAGTTGACATCCTGTTTTCAGTCATTGGTTTCACGGTCTTTGCTAATTGTATTCCACCTCTGAAAATTGTGCCCTCTCTGTCAGTATGTTGAATCAGGTTTTGGAGCCCAACAGGTTGAGGAACAGACCCTGAAGTATTTGTTGATTGATTCAAGACAATAATAAAAGTTACCTTATGTTATATCATGGGAGAGAGCCACTGAACTCCCTGAGAGTCGTTGCTAGCTACACATACACGAGTATGAAATTTCTATACAAACATGTAACACACCTAGACACTAATATTATTGACCAATGAACAGTTCTAGAGAGTATCCTTATATATTTTTTTGATTGTTAGAAAGACTCAACTTACTTTAGTTACCTATATAAAACAATATGTAGAAAGATTCTAAGAACGAAAACTTACAAAGACTTTTAAAAAGAATTCATCGGCAATGACTGCATCGCCCTCTATAAATAAAACCCTATATAATTTATGACATGTATACTTACACAAATGGAACTAGTAAGAGTTCACTGCCCATTTTAACAAGTTTCCAGTTCCACCTTCTTTAGGAAGATGTGACAGTACTTAACTGGTGAGCTGAAAAGGAATGGTTCTGGTTTAGACAGGATTATGCCCCTTGTAGGAGCCATATTATCATCTCAAATGCTCTGAACAAAGATGTCATCTTTTTGCTTCAGTGTTCTTATTTCTAATCACAAGATGTTCTAATTCTTTGCTTATCTTGTTAAATAAACAGATTCTAGGTATTGAGTCATTAACAATTGATCTATGTAGAACACTTCATCTGCCTTTAACGTGTCTGATAATAAAGTCAGTGCTTGCTTTACTTATTAATTCAAAAAAGGAGCATATATTTGCCTACCATGCTTCCTGGGAATACAAGTGAAGCAAATCCCTGACAACACAGCAATATTATATTTCCCTCATCAAACCATTAACCATCCCACAGAACATTAACTATTCCCTTTATGCACACATTTTATTAAATACTTTTTGTCTCTGTTTCTCGATTTGATAAAGCATCCTTCCACCATACTCTCATACCCAAACCCTTGAAAGCTAAATCTACATTGTGTTTCTCTTATTAAAGGAAAAAACATAAACATGAATATGAATAAAGTGAATATCTTAAGCTGGGAGTAACCCATGAGTGGATTACAATTGAAATAAAACAACAGAATATGCACAAGAAGATAGCCTGTATAAATAATTAACCTACATGGAA